AATGGTTGTAATATTTTTTACATACGAATTAAAAATGAATTTAATTAGTTTTTAAAAGTCAAGTAAACCAAATTTATTAGATATGACTGGTGAACTCTGTGTTCTTTTGTACACGATATTTCTATATTATTAAAATAAAAGCAAAATTTGTTGCATAAGATTTAAATATAATTACAGACAACCAATCGACTTATATATCTATATAAATAAAATTAGAGTTTTGTCTGTACATTGCTCAGAATTATATACTTTTAGGTTATTTTTACGTTTTATACATTAAAGAAGCAGAAACGAGTCTTATCTCAATTTCTGTCTGTCTGTCTGTCCCTTTGTCTGTAACACTCAAGATGGCATTTTACGCAATCTTCTCCGTGAAAACCAGAGTACATATCAAGATCCAACTCATTTTAATGTATTCACTGGATTGGCGAGAGTGTCTTTAGTGATTTAAATATAGCCTCACTACTTTGTAAATAAAATTACGGACGTTCAAAAATGCAGTTTTGTGCGATTTTTGTCAAATTTTCGTTCAATTTTTATCACATAATCGTCTATGAAATAACGAACAGCTGTTCGGATCAAGATAATTTTTTCTAGCTGTCAATGACATGTTTACAAATGTTGTTTACAAATACCGCAACTATTTCGAATCACGTTTTGAAAGCAAATCCCAACCAAGTGAGATTAAAAACGTTGTTCTTACATAACGGATTTAATTAATCGCAAGTGCAATAATATAGTCTAATAGTGTAACCGTAAATGAAATTAAATAACTAGACATCGTCCAAATCGGAACCAGAAATTCTTTGAGTATAAAATGTTTCTTGAGTTTTGACAACCAGAAAGAAGAATACCTTGAATCAGTGTTGTATAGGGCTGTGACACTGAAATGATCGTCGCCAATAGCTTACAAAAAAGGTTTCCACTCATTGACGGCGCTTCAATGGCGATTGTGTAAAGTGTAAAGTAAAAAATCACAACTGCAGTGGGTGATTGTAACAGAGGTTTAACAGAGGAAGTGCTAAACTCGCTTTTCCAATGTGTCACTTTCTGTTTCTACTCACCGTGTGATGCAATCGCTGGACCATACAGCCAATAGGCCCATAGCTCATATCTTGGGTACGTAAGCCTACATATTTATTCATAACAACCTTTTTGACGACGATCCTTGATACCGGTACTTTTCCATAGAATACATGGCCTACCTACTTAAAAAATAAAATTACAAATGACCAAACCCCCAACATTGTGTGATTTTCGTCACATTTCCTTCTAATGTTAATAGATATACTAATCATTGTTTAGAGAATGCGTAATCTATTAAATAACAAAAAGTTGTTTGGGTAAGGTTGCTTCTTTTTCAAAATGACACCGATAAGTTTACGCCATAACTTTTTACGAGAAAATCCAAAAGCAAGAGATCAATAACCTCGGGACTAGATATTAATGTATTTAATTGGTCCGATTTACTGTAATTCTTAGGTAGGTTCTTACGTAGGTACTGGTTCTTTTCCTTAGAACCGGTAGTTTACAAATTAGATATCGTTTGGTGTTGCACCTTATTTATTAGAGCCGTCCGTATTCAATTTAAGTGATGTCTTAACTCTGTATAAGTTTTGCTTTTTCTGCCTGGATTCCAAATCTTAGCTTACCCGGTATGCTAAGAAAATGATAACCTATTTGAGTAAAACATTTGTTGGGCAAACCATCATGAATTGTTTACGCCTTTATATTGTTTATGTATCAATAGTTCGTGGCCTTTGTTGGATTGTTGTATTGTGTTGTTTTGTTGTATGTTGGTAACGCATTAATGTCCTTATTTCTCAGTGTTTCACGGAATGGACAAGAGCACCTTTGATACTGAAAATGTCAACCGGAATAAAGTGTTAAATGGTGAGGTTGAGGTAGTACTTTAAATACGTTTAAGTTAACCGATGTGGAAAGTAACTTTCAATTATAGGCCTACTTTAGGGCTACGCTTCATGGATCTATAAAACATTTTTAAGTTTAATCATTGGACATATGGACCAACACGATCCGGGTGACATTTAATTGCGAAGCATTTATTTTGGCTTGAACTGTCAGATACTGTATTTGCGAAGGTTTATATATAATAGTTTTGCCAGCATATCTGCAAATATGCAAACTAATTGCTGTTCTTAATCTTAATATAAGAAGGTTTCAACTGACTACTATAAGATCCCCGTGCGTAGAACGGGCACACAGCTAGTGCCCTCTAAATTTACTACTTCAGACCTGATTAACTCATTTATTAATTTTACCTCTATTTAAAACCATACCTATTAAGTTTTCTTTCTATAAGTTGGTGGAATAGCTTATTATTTCTTTTAAATCCGTCACGTCAATTCCACTCTGTTTCTATCCCCTGAACATGCAAGTGCAATCTCACAAACACTTGTAGCTGTCCATTCCATTAGTATACATGTGCCATTTGACAGCTACATGGTCACCCCTGTAGTACATTCGATACAATATACAGTCCGAGTACATTCAATTGACAGACTATGGCTCACGGACAGTTAGTTTTTGCTCAAGTCTATTACATGTTTAAAACTAATATCCAGTCTCAAAATGAACATTTTAACAGTAAAAGTCGATTTAATGAGCATGCCAACACAAGGAAATGCTGTATAATAGCGGTAATTAGTTATTATATACAGTAGTTTGTTCAACAAATCGAATGTTTATTTCCTGTTAGACAATACATTGTATATAGAAAGGTCAAATGGGATAAAGCATACTCCCTCAGGTCTATGGTATTATGTTGGTTCACATTTGTCAAGCAGAATACAGGCCAAAAACAACAAATACAATGAGAAAAAAATATATATGAGAAAAGGATAACCACAAGAAAAGAAATATATACATTAGTCTATATTTAAATGTCTAGGAAGTTCTAGAAAATCATTAAAGTTGTAGAATGGGTTGCTTACTAGCCACATTTAAATTTTAGCTTTAACAATTTTGTAGTGTAATTAAGGCAATTTATTCAGACATTAGAGACCCGTAATTTTATGATTCTTCTTTGTTTTCGTCGGTCTAACTTAAGGTATATAACAAAGTTAAGCAGTTGTCAGTCACGAGAGGCCATATTTTTCTGGAACTACGTGATTTGTATGTCGTATCGTGCGTAACACGTGACACAACAGTTCAGCTCGAAACAATAACTGATATACCATTTTAAGGCCTGTATTACAGTATATTATATTAGCCTGTGTTTTAAAACCTAACATAACTATACCAGGGGTAAGAAGGACCCCTAGAGTTTGTGGTTGAAGTTTAGGCAGATAGAGGATTCGAATCTTGTAGTGTGGAGTAATGCAGGGTGAAAATTAGTTTCTCCATTTAAGTGTCAGTGACACGTTATCGCTCCATAAATATCAAGTAATGTTAACAACCAACTAAAACAAAAAAATGCAGCTCCCTTACTCATTTTAGTTAACATGTGACCAAAAACACATTTTAGACATTTTAAGTATATAAAATCGTTTATTTGTTGCTCAAACAATATACACTATGCTAGACGCTCCTCGAATAAACTGTAAATTTCAATAAAAAATATGAGTACAATGGGAAAATCCTTCCAGAAAATTAATCCCTTTTTTGATGGTACTCCATAACTCGAGAACGAGTGTACCGAATTGGACGATTCTTTATAATCCATCCAACCGCTATTTAGTAATTTGATTTTAAAAAACCCCAACATTGGACCAACAGCATTGGAGGAAAATGTTTGCATTTAACTGTGGGATGAAATAACATGTTTAAAAAAAACCTTGTGTTAATTATCAACCACAACCTGGAGGCAAGTGATCGTAGCAAACTAGCTAAACCTTAAGGCGATTGAGCTCAGCGATCAAGCTAAACCTGAGGGCGAGTGAGCGCGAACGAACTCCAACGAAAATGTGAGTGAACGTAGCGAATTGACTTCAACAAGGACGTGATTGAGCGATGCGAAGAAGCTCATTTTGAAAATTAACGAGCATTTGAAATGAAACCACATTAGGGACGAGGTCCAGCTAGTTCCAAATAATTTTCTAAATTTGTAACAGTGTCTAGAAGACTCGTCTCTTGACTATTAGTAAGGATGATCTGTTTCACCATTTTTGTTAATTGTATCCTTTGAGAATACGATCGTTGCAGGATTATCTTGAAGGTTAAAGCATTATTTTTGTTTCTGTACTTTCCGGGTGAACCAATTAACTGATTTCTTACGCGATGTGTTAGCTTTGCGTGTTTATTCTCTAGTCCCATTTAGTCCTCAAATTTTAGTTTTTTCCTCCTCCAAGCGTCCAAGTAAACGTTCGTCAATTATTCATTTTATTTGTGCATAAAAAAATATATCAATGTTCTGAGCGGGATACGAATAAAAGGATGTAACAAAATACAGAACAATCAAAAACAAAAAAATGTAATCTAGATAGCAGTTTAAAGGAGAAAAAAAAACCGGTTAGAATCATGCTTAAATTGCAGCGTTATGAGTCAGCTAAAGCACATTTTAAGGATCTAAAAATCTTAACCGTGTACGGGCATATTAATTGCAAACAAACAATAAATATATTCGGAACCGAAAGAAAAATCCCATTCTTATAATTTAAAGAAATAAGAACGAAAATGCATAACCACACAGGACTAATCCTGACCGTTTCCAATATCCAAATTGTGGCATCCTTGAGTTGATCACCCTGTATACAAGAATTGCAATATATTTTTGCACATAAATTGTAACTTAGCTTGTAATTATGGTTATAATTTTCATAATCTCAGTTAAATAATAGTTGACTATATTTGGAAGTGACATTTTTGCTTCCTCTATGTCTGAGTATTTCTCACTTTTTTATTTCGGTTAGGTTGTAGTACTATGATATTATATGGGTCTAATCACAAAAGCTGCAATAAATCTGTAATTTATTTTTTTCAAAATTTATAAATCCAATACATCATTTAAGATAAACAATTGCATAATTTATATGGTCTGTAATCAATCTTCAGACGACGTCTCCCCCGGGCCTCTGCACCTCCTCTCGCCACATGTTCTGAAAAAATTGTAAATACATAAATAACATTACGTGTTTCAACTTATAATAGTGATGACTTCTCAGTTTCAACCAACCAAGAACCTGGTAGGTTAGTATTTAGAAGGAATATCTGTTTTAGATTATATTACATTGTTAACTATGCTTACTTAAAAAAATTCTATAAATTGTAAGAAATCCATCCTGGGAAAGGCAAAAAATATTAGTCTTTCAATTTTTCTCTCAACATGGATTACAAATATTTAAATATGGGATATAAGATATTAACTTGGGAAGTCTCCCATTCCTTAGCCTAAATATACAAATTTAAAATATCCACTCTATACCTTCTGTTTAATGTACAAATAGTTTTGGTTTTTATGATACTCTTTGCATCATACCATTCCAGATACTGCGTCCTTTGTAAAAGTTTCCTTGGACATTAAACTAAACCTTTGATGCTTATGATCTCAATCAATATAAATACTTACTTCCAGCTCCTCGTCTGTAGGGTTGAATATAGGATTTGGTTGCGCTGGAGCGTTGTGATCACTGAAGGTGACCCGGCTAAGGTCAAAGCTGTTAGACGAGGAGACTGGTGACGGCTCTGGGGTGGGTGCAGGGGCATCCGTGGGTGAGGACCGCAGCCTTATAATCAGGTAGGTCACTGCGCCAGAACAGCCAACGGCCAGAAGGGCCAGTAGTGGGTGGTCTCTGAAAGTGTATTTTATTTCCTGTTTCAAGTAACAATTTTGTCTACATTCAGTAACTACATTTAACTTAGGGTACTTGCAAGTCTCTATAGCTGAGCCAACCAATAGCAAGGTTGTTACGTAAGATTCTCAAATTACCATACATTCTATGACCAGTAATAACATTTATTTAGAGTATGAAGATGCTGGTCCAAAGTTCACCATACATGAAACCTTTTAATATGAAGATCAAGGAAATGCACGTATGCATACATAAATGCTTATGGAATGAGTGGTTTATTTTGGGAGGTTATTAACTGCATCATATTTCATTAAAACCGTAACTACTTCAAAATAATTTTTTTACTGAATACAGCTCATTTAAACAGCACAAACAAGATGATCAAAAAATCTTTACGAGAACAGTTTGTTGTATAGGTAGTATAGATTACAAAACTAAAAAAATCTTGGAATGTAGATAAAATATATTTATTCTTAAAACTTTTACTCACCGGACAAACTTGAAAACAATCCTGAAGATCATATTGATTGAAGTAAATATGAAAATGTCAGGACAAGTAAAAATGCAAGTTTATCTTCCAATTGCAGAAATTACTCTGAATTCGTTGCTATGGATTTGATAAAAATACTTTTCCGTTAAAATCCGCAATAGTACGAGAGGTTGATAGTTATTATGAGAAACTAACATTATTAGGTATTTACTCAGGGGAGGTATAGAAGAGGCTACGATGACAGCTGTGGGCTTCTTATTAGCTGAGGGAACGCCATTACCGTAACAAAACGATCAGTAGGCATCGGCCTCGGTGGTCTAATAGTTAGCGTGCCGGGCTGATATGCTGAAGGTCCCGGGTTCAAATCCCGCTCGTGCCATTAACTTTTTGTCCAAGATTTTTTTATTATCAGCAAGTTTGGTTGGTTTGGTTCGGTTATGACAGTTTAATTTTATTATTAAGTCATTATAAAATTTTAGTAGAGCAATTTCTAGTTTTATTTAATAAACTGAATTATTTTTTCTATTAATAAACTTTTGTTATATTATTCCATTATCAGCAAGTTTGGTTAGTTCGGTTAGGTTATGATAGTTTAATTTTATAATTAAAAAATAATAAAATTGAATTTGAGGCATTTATTATTTCATTTTATGAACATAACTATTTTTGCGATTAGTAAACCTTCTTTGCCAAAGTACTCTCTACTACAGCGCTGTTTTGGAATTTTGAACTAATGCCTCATTCGTACCTCCCCTAAGTCAGACCCACATTATTAAATGTATGTACTTGTTTATCCTGTATTAGTTCCCCATTCAAAATCACCAATGGAATAAAATATTGGAAAGCTGACAACAATACTTAACTATTTATCAATTACCATTATTGTATGAGATGGGAGCGCCACTTATGTGCACATTTTAACCCAAATATAAGTGAAGAATGAATGTAGAATAGAACGAGATGCATTGTGTGGCTTTGTTAGACTTTGTAGACCTGCTTTTTCACTAGCCAGGAACATTTATTGGAAGCCCAATGATCAAGGATAGCTGGTTTAAAATGTTTCACACTTTTAAGGATTGAAACCGAGACCTTTTGACAACTAGGCGAGCACTATAAGCATCCATCTACCCAGCTATAGTTTTCTTTTCCTAGGACGCTAGGCATGAGCACGGGATTGTTTTTCACATTACTTTAGGCTAGGCCTAGGTATTTAGATATATCCATATCACTTAGACAGTATCCATTGGTGATTTGGCGGGATTTGAACCCGGGACCTCAGTTTTCGAAGTTCCACTCTCTAACCACTACACCAGCTCACTACCCTATAGTAAGCAACTATTATTTATTACAAATATTAAACTGTACGGAAATCTTAATATTTAGTCAAATAAACTAAACTAGGTGAAACCAGTCGAAATTGACGGTTACTTTGGCTTACACTAGTTCGTCTAACCGTGATAAATGAGTGAACTTATACAAATGTTGAGTATTTAACATTGTTTATTGAGTAATAAGTGTAAAAACAATAATGACTACTAGGTGAAACCCGTCGAAATCGACGGTTGCTTTCAAGGCTTACGCTAATTCATCTAACTGCGATAAATTGAGTTAAATTATACATATTTTGAACAATTAGCATTGTTTAAAGATTAATAAGTATAAAAACAATAATGATATTAATTGCGTTAGTTACCAAATATGGTTGATCATTCAATGAATAACATATTTCCCATACTGTACGTCATCGGAATTGTTAGTATGCTATGTGGTATCTCTTCCTTTGGAATAACTTTAAATAGTATTAAAATGGTATTGTTGGATCTTTTGTGGTTAAACACTACCTAAAAAACTTACCATGATTTCATCAGTATAATGCAGATTAAAAGGAATATGACCTTTCCGTCATGACAGTAGCTGCTTAAACAGTATTTACTCATATGGCCATTTTTACAGCCAAAATGTCGTGTTATTTCCAATAATGTTACCAACCCAGTGGGCCACGATCCGTAATATAGGCCACAGCAAATAATTTGTCAAGATTGGTACTATTTTAGGCAAGGTTTCTGTGTTTGGATGTTATTAGAAACGGTAAGAGCACAATAAAATTCTTCTGCAGATGAATTTTATGTTGGAGAAATATAAGCCGAATTATAAATGTTACAATGCGAGTTTGATCATTTCTAACTCAAAATTTCCCTGAATTACAATAAGTTATCAAAATTGTTTGACAACATTATTTTCTTGTAAGAATGTAAGTACTTACCTTAACTTAACTTATTATATACAAAAAGTTGCGCAATTTAATTTTGTTTAATTTACTCATTTACTTATTTAAGCTACCTGTAATAATTTAGGACTTATTGGCTAAAAACATAAATATTTCCGGTAGCCATTTTGAAAAACCTTTCATACAAGGCCAACGCACCTCCGTAGAGTGGTAGACTTTTCACCATCGTTTTTTTCAGTCATTTTTACATAACAATCCATTGGCAGAAATTATATTACAATTACTTCTAGGTACAGGTAATTTTTAAGCTATTTTTACTAGTCTACAAAGCTTTGCCCCAATTGCAACACGTAGTTTGTCTAACGATTGTTACGAGTAAACATGTTATTATCGTAGAACCAAATAAGTCCTTTACCTAATATGCTTATCTTAATCATAATACATTTTCTGTTTTCTTTCTTGTTCAAAAAAGTTCTGATGACCTCAACAAAAGGTTTAGAGTTTATAATTTATTTAGAAAATCCTTATACTAAACTAATTATTTTAAAAACAGTTGTACGTACATTTATCTAGGATAAATATTGAAAAACATATTTAGTTTTTACTCAGATTGTGGGCAGTCTTTCGACTTTTAAGTAAGTTATAACCTATAAGTTTCTGTTTATTATAGATTTATGTGAGTCCTTAATGACTTATTCATGTCTAAATTCTAAGAAATCTATATACAGGGTGAGTTTCTACTGACACCCATAACTTCACCAGTGGATTCTACTGACCAAAATGATCAAAAAAGTTGATATAAACCCTAGTCCGATTCCGAACCGTTTGGTCGTAATTGAGAATTTTGTGTTTTCTAAAAATATTGGACTTTCTGTCACTATTTACTTTATAAAAATAAAACCAATTACTCTATCGATTTATATAAAAAATAATTCGAAAGGGCATTAAATTTGCTACAAAACCAAGGTTACATGAAAAAATATTTCATTACATACATCGGTTCCTAGCCGAATTAAAGTAAAAAATATCGTATAATAGTTAATTTGTTTAAGTTTTAAGACCCTTTTTTCTTACTTTATTCTGGTCCCACGCAATGTCCAACTAGATAAAAAACTTCCTCATTTAATAAGCTTTAAATTTATATGCAATTTTAAATTGTTGTTGGTAGAATTGACAGAAAAACTTCCATCAAACTAAAGTAAAACCCGGTTTACCGATTTGGTTTTAGCAGGGTGTAATATTTTATAAGAACAAGATAAAATCTAGTGTATTCAATTTATTCTCCATTTCAATCACAACTCTATTATTATTGTTATTTACAAAATTAACAATCAGAACAAAACAAAAGTCTTTAACATCTGGAATGCAACCAACATTATAAAATCAAATGCTGCTTCTTGTACAATTAATATAAACATATATTACACTCGCCAACACTTAAACTTTGCTTGGCTCATAATACTTTAAAACTTTAAAATTTCTTCTGACTCTTTGGTTTCTCCAACTTTATAGATCCAATTTCTCCGGCTTGTGCACAGTCCTCTGTGATCTCCTCAAAACTGTAGATGGACTGTATTGTACACCCCGTGGTTTCCCAACATCAGACTTCAATCTAGGCAAATAAGGTGAAGCATCATGTCTTGATATTGATGGTGATGTAGACTCCTGAAGAATAGGCAAATCTCTATTGAATTCTTGTTGATGTGCCTCAATAGTCCTTCCAACTTCCTCTTTGCGCACAATGATTTCGTCCTCCTCTACCTCAGTTGGCCTAAGATGGTCTGCATGGCAAACTCTTGTTTTACCAAGAACACTAACCAAATAAGTAACTGGACTTTTACACTGTAATATACGACCTGGAACCCAACTAACCTTCTCCTGTCTGACTGTTTTAACCAACACCTTCTGATTTTCATTAAAAAATCTACACGCACCTCTATGCCTATCTGAGGCTCGTTTCTGCATTTCCTGCTTCTTCCTTGACTCGTCTAGTAGATTAGGTTTTAACATAGTCAATTTTGTTCGAGGTTTCCAACGTAAGAACAGTTCAGCCGGGCTCACACCGGTTACTGACGATGGAGTATTACGATATGCGAAAAGAAAGTTATCCAATTTATACTGCAGTGATGTCTGCTGAAATGATTGGTACTTCAGTATTAAACGGAGGCCAAATTTTTTCAGCGCGCTGCGGCGGTTATGTTAGGTTGGGTTATCATAATAGAAAGTATCGTTCGATTCATAACGAAGCGAGGAAAGTCCTACACACATAATATTTACGATAACCCAACCTAACATAACCGCCGCAGCGCGCTGACAAAATGTGGCCTCCGTTTAATACTGAAGTACCAAATGATTTTTCACCCAAAACTTGCCTTAACAAACTTTTCTTAACTTCTTGAACAGAACGCTCGGCTGCTCCATTGGAGGCAGGGTGATATGGTGGAGAAAATGTTAGTTTCACACCATTTTTTCTAAGAAACTCCCTGAATTCTAGGCTTGTAAAAGACGTGTCGTTGTCACACACCAACTCCTCAGGTAAACCATAAGCAGAAAATAGTGTACGAAGTTTCTCAATGGTCTTCCCCGTGGAAATAGAACCCATTAAAAATACTTCCATCCACTTTGAAAAACTATCCACTACAATCAACATTTGCTGTCTGGTGGTTGGATCTTCAGCAAAATCGATATGAATTCGGCGCCATCTCTCGGAAGTTAACGGCCATTGCTGCAATGGAACTTTTGAAGCAGCATTTCTTGTACTTTGACAAATCAAACAAGATGACACAGCATCCTCAATTACTTTTTCGATCCCAGGCCACCACACGTGGCTGCGTGCCAACAATTTCATTCGAGTAATTCCAGGATGTTGTTCATGCAATATCTGGACGACTTTACCTTGCAATTTCTTAGGTATGACTACTCTACTGCCCCATAAAATGCAATTTTTATCCACTGTAATTCATCTTTCCTTCTCTGAAATGGAATTAACATTGGGTCTACAATTTCACGCCACCCATACAACACAAAATCCCGAACTTTAGACAACAGTGGGTCTTTATCAGTCAATTGTCCTATCTCTAAAGAAGTGATTGGAGAATCGTCACTCCCCGAATTGAAGAAGTTCATTTCTCTTACACAAGATTCCACATGAGATATATAATTTTCATCCAACTCCAAAGTTTCATTCTCGGGTAGTGGTAAGCGTGACAACGTATCAGCGTGAGGCAAACAAAATCAGGGCCCATCGTTGTAGGCGAGCAGCAGCTAAACTAGGCACCCCTGGCTTCGATCCAAAAATAGCTGCTGGTGGCTGATGATCACTTTGTAAAATACAATTGGTACGCCCATAAATGTATTTATGGAATTTATTCACTCCAAAGATCAGTGCCAACGCCTCCTTGTGGAGCTGTGAATAGTTCTTCTCACTGGCACTCAGTGTTTTTGATGCAAACGCTATAGGTCTTTCTTCTCCGTTTATGATATGGGACAAAATGGCAGAAACTCCTTTAGGACTAGCATCACAAGTGAGCACTAAAGGTTTCAAGACATCATAGTGTACTAAAACATCAGAACACAGAACCCAAGATTTACTTTCTTTGAATGTTTGAGAACATTGCTCGGTCCATTTCCATGGAACATCTTTCTTTAACAGTTCATAAAAACAATGAATTTGTGCAGACAAGTTTTGAATAAATTTTCCATAATAGTTTATTAAACCAACATAAGCCCTTAGCTCGTCTTTACTAGTAGGTTCGGGAGCTTTTTGAATAGCTTCAACAATACCTTGTTGTGGACTGACTCCTGATGCTGAAATGACGTAGCCTAAATATTCCACTTCAGGCTGTAAGAACTTGCATTTACTCCCATTAACTTGTACTCCAAATTCCATAAGACGCTGTAACAATTTCTCCAATCTATAAAAGGCTTCCTCTCTTGTTGAGCCGCCAACCAAAACATCATCTAAATAGGCTACAGTACCTGGCAATCCGTTTATAACTTGATCGATCACAGCTTGAAATATAGCTGGAGCTGAAGAAAGTCCAAATGGCAGACGTCTTAGTCGAAATAGTCCCTTGTGAGTTGTTAACGTCAACAGAGGTTGTGAATCCTCCGCAACAGCTAATTGTTGATAAGCATTAGTGAGATCCACAACTGAAAAATATGTACAACCAGACAGAGAAGCAAATATATCCTCAGGTTGAGGTAATGGATAATGTTCCGTCTGTAACACCGGATTCAATGTTACTTTGAAGTCTGCGCACAATCGGACACCATTAGTCTTGGGCACTGTAACTAACGGAGTAGCCCATTCTGAACTAGAAACTCTGTACGCTATACCATCCTCAACCCACCGATCTAATTCTTGTTCTACTTTTTCCCTTAACGAGTAAGGCACAGGCCTAAATTTGCAAAACTTAGGAACAGCATTGTCCTTGAGAGTGACTTGAGCCTTAACACCTTTTATTTCTCCTGGCCCCCCTTGAAACACTGCATTGTACTTTTTCTTTAACGCCTCTACTTCAGCCTCAAGTTTGCCATTAGGCAACACAACTTCACAATTAGATTGCTTCAATTCACATGTGGTAACATTCACTGTAGACTTAGATTTAGTACCAGTAGTATCATACGATCTTGAAAATACAGCATGCCAATCCAACTTTAATTTTGCTAACCAGTTCCTTCCAAGCAAAATAGGCTGGTCTTTACGACAAACCTCAACAATCAATAGTGGTAACACTAGGTTCTGGTTTTTATATAAAACTCTAACCTCAGCTTGACCTAGAACAGGCACGTCACCACCTGTGTAAGTTCGCAATTTCATAGAAACAGGCTTTAATTCAATATGAGAAAAATGTTCATTAAAAACGTCTGAAGGACAAACTGATACAGCTGACCCGCTGTCAATTTCCATCTCCACCAGAACCTTCTCTATAGTTAGCCTTACCTTGTAAGCTGCCATACCTGTATTTAATCCAAAGTTGTACAAACACATATTATTTGAAACTTCATTGCAGCTTGAGCTAAGCTCACTGACATCATCTTCGGAGATTTGATGGACTCTATTAGCACCTGACTTGTCCTTCCTTCCAAATTTTGCAACTTTACTTTGGTTTCGGCAAGCTTTTAGTAGATGCCCAACCATGTTGCACCCATTGCACTTATAATTTGCATATGGACATTCATTGGCCCTATGTTCAACTGAACAACATCTGTAACACTGAAATTTAGCATTAATATTAGTCATACCAGTACCAATAGCTGAATTGAAATGACTACCAGTCTGCCTATTTTGATTCACATGTGAAGAATTGGGCTTGGAATTTAAATGACAAATTTCCTGTTTTGGATTGAACAAACTTGTCTGTTTTTCAGCCTGCTCTAATCTGAGTGCCAAACTATAAGCTTCTTCAAATTCTTGATCCTCAGACAATAATTTTTGCCTTATGACCTCATTACTTATCCCTGAAATAAGCTTGTCTCTAAGAGCCTCTTTTAAGAATGTGCCAAATTTACTTGAACTAGCTAAATGTTTAATCGCTACAACAAACTCTGAAATACTCTCACTAGGTTTTTGCACACGAGAATAAAAAGTGTATCTCTCAGCTACCACCAATTTCTTTGGAGAAAAATAGTTCTCAAGCACTTTAACTAACTCTTCATAACTTTTGCTATCTACAGCTGCAGGTGAAACTAAATCAGACAAAATTGTTAAAACTTTTGGACCTACAACAGTTATTAAAACAGAAACTTTAGTATCGTCATCAATCTCATTAGCTTTGAAATAATGCTTAAGCCTCATTGCATATGATTCAATGGACTCATCTTGTGGGTTAAATTCACCAATCTTACCTATTCCTAACATCTTAGTCTTTAAGTTTACCTCCTTTTTTTTTTTAAGTTTACCTCCTTTTTTTAAGTTTAGATTTATCTTCTTCAGAATCTGGTATAAAAAAAACTTTACTTTTACTAGACTTACTATCACTCGGAACGAGGTCCGTTTAATTTGACTGCACCATTGTAATCTTACTAATATTATAAATCTGAAAGTTTGTGAGTTTGTGTGTATGTTTGTGTGTGTGTTTGTGTGTGTGTTTGTGTGTGTGTTGCTCAATCACGCATAAACTACTGGACGGATTGGGCTGAAATTTGGCATGATGATAGCTCACATTTCCGATTAACATTAAAGCATATTCTTATCTCAAAAACCCTTTCGGGCTCCGCCCCAGTGGCTCTGTAGTTCCCCATGTTAATCTTATGATTTTTCATATTTAAAAGGAATTAATGAATCTTAACAGCTGTTTCAATTAAACAAGTTGGTTCTGTTCTATGATGTTCAATAGCATAAAAGTTAAAAGGATTACCAACAGGGTGCAGCACTATTATTTTTTTTTTAAATATATGACAACAGCTAATTTCCAACCAAAAGATGAGTGAGCGTAGCGAACGAACTTCAACCTGGAGGCGAGTTAGCGTAGCGAACGAGCTAACCTGAAGGCAAGTGAGCGCAGCGAACGAGCTTCAACCTAAAGGTGAGTGAGCGTAGCGAACGAACTTCAACCAGGACGTGAATGAGCCAAGCGAATACTTATGAAGTTAAACGGGGCGAAGCCCGCGGGTACAGCTAGTATTTTATAAGAACAAGATAAAATCTAGTGTATTCAATTTATTCTCCATTTCAATCACAGCTCTATTATTATTGTTATTTACAAAATTAACAATCAGAACAAAACAAAAGTCTTTAACATCTGGAATGCAACCAACATTATAAAATCAAATGCTGCTTCTTGTACAATTAATATAAACATATATTACACAGGGTAACAAAACTACTAATATTAAACTCTAATATTAAACACATGTCTTGCTTCAAATCGTACTGGTTCAAATCAGCTGATTTAATTGTTATGATTTGTTAGCAAGTCTAAATCAGCTATAGTAAATAACGTTATTTGGTTTCCTAGTCAGATTAAAACGCTTGTTTGTTATTTTTCACGTTATGGATCCTTTCACAAGTTCAGAATATGCTGATATGCATTATGTTAATGGTTTTTGTTCCGGAAATGCGTCTGAGAGTGTTCGCGAGTACATTAGACGCTTTCCAGGCAGGAGGATTCCTGATCGAAAAACATTTTTTCGCGTCCACCAGTGTTTGCGTGAAAATGGAAAGTGTCCCACCAACGGCCGCTTAGTTGGAAACTTCATCATCATCATCCTTTTTATTGATTTCCCTCAAGGGGTACATCAAAAAAATACATTTACAAAATACAATTACATGCAAAATAACCAAGGTTGGTAAAAAAGTTTTACTAATAACTAGGCAAAAAAAAATCATATAAATATTAACATGCAATAAATAATTCAATAAATAACCAATAAATATCTCATAAATAAATACTGTATAGACATAGAATACCAGTAGAAGAACAATAAATATTTACACTGATAGCTGAGCCAACATACAAAATTAATTGAATTAATTAAATGTTTTGAAATAGTTGGAAACTTTATACAAGATGTCGGATTGGAAGAGGCTATTTTGGAACGGGTAAATGAAGATCCAAGGATAAGTACGAGGACATTAGCCCGTGAGTTTGGGATATCTCAAACATTTGTGTTAAAACTATTACGAAAAGAGGGGTTGCACCCATTTCATTTCACGCGCGTCCAGAAACTCGAGCCGAGAGATCCACCCATGGATTTCCTGAAAACAATTTTATGGACTGATGAATGTTCGTTTACGAGAGATGGAGTCTTTAATTTCCACAATGAGCATCACTATGCTGACGATAATCCGTTCCTCGTCGTGAATCTAGGAGTCAGTCACGATTCAAGGTAAATGTGTGGGCTGGACTGATAGGAAATCGAGTGATTGGACCATATCTTGACCTTCCTCCAACACTGAATGGAGATGACTAGTTACAGTTCCTAACTGAAATCCTACCATAACTCCTGGAGGACATTCCATTGAATTTGCGTGATCGCATCGTGTACCAAACTGATGGCGCACCCCCGCACTTCAACTCAATGTACGTGACTATTTAAGCAACAACTTCCGCTTGTGGATAGGAAGAGGTGGAACCGTTGCCTGGCCTCCTCGGTCACCATACCTCAATCCATTGGATTATTACTTTTGGGGGTATCTTAAACAAGAAGTTTATAGGACGCCAGTGGAATCAGCTGTAGAAGTGAGAAACCGAATTGTCACAGCTACTGCACGACTACGCAATACGGTAAACTTGAATGCTACTGTTAGAGAGTTGAGAAAACGTGTCCGCATCTGCATCAGACAAAATGGTGGTCATTACGAAAACTTGCTTAGGTAGCAATAAACATTGTCTATTCTGAATACTTGTAATTAATTTGTTAATGAAAAGTAACCATTACAACCACCATACTGTACCAAACAAGTACAAGTACAAGTCCCATACAAGTCTGTACAAGCACCATACTGTATGGAAATGTTGTGTTCATGTGCCTCGCATTATTAAAATAAGAATACCCTTACTCGTAAACCTGGTTTTTATTTAGTTTCATAGTAGTTTTTTTTTGTAATTTCTAGAATTCAAGAATTCTTCAATTCAAGAAGCAGCATTTGATTTTATAATGTTGGTTGCATTCCAGATGTTAAAGACTTTTGTTTTGTTCTGATTGTTAATTTTGTAAATAACAATAATAATAGAGCTGTGATTGAAATGGAGAATAAATTGAATACACTAGATTTTATCTTGTTCTTATAAAATACTAGCTGTACCCGCGGGCTTCGCCCCGTTTAACTTCATAAGTATTCGCTTGGCTCATTCACGTCCTGGTTGAAGTTCGTTCGCTACGCTCACTCACCTTTAGGTTGAAGCTCGTTCGCTGCGCTCACTTGCCTTCAGGTTAGCTCGTTCGCTACGCTAACTCGCCTCCAGGTTGAAGTTCGTTCGCTACGCTCACTCATCTTTTGGTTGGAAATTAGCTGTTGTCATATATTTAAAAAAAAAATAATAGTGCTGCACCCTGTTGGTAATCCTTTTAACTTTTATGCTATTGAACATCATAGAACAGAACCAACTTGTTTAATTGAAACAGCTGTTAAGATTCATTAATTCCTTTTAAATATGAAAAATCATAAGATTAACATGGGGAACTACAGAGCCACTGGGGCGGAGCCCGAAAGGGTTTTTGAGATAAGAATATGCTTTAATGTTAATCGGAAATGTGAGCTATCATCATGCCAAATTTCAGCCCAATCCGTCCAGTAGTTTATGCGTGATTGAGCAACACACACACAAACACACACACAAACACACACACAAACATACACACAAACTCACAAACTTTCAGATTTATAATATTAGTAAGACTATTAATATAAACATATATTACACAGGGTAACAAAACTACTAATATTAAACTCTAATATTAAACACATGTCTTGCTTCAAATCGTACTGGTTCAAATCAGCTGATTTAATTGTTATGATTTGTTAGCAAGTCTAAATCAGCTATAGTAAATAACGTTATTTGGTTTCCTAGTCAGATTAAAACGCTTGTTTGTTATTTTTCACGTTATGGATCCTTTCACAAGTTCAGAATATGCTGATATGCATTATGTTAATGGTTTTTGTTCCGGAAATGCGTCTGAGAGTGTTCGCGAGTACATTAGACGCTTTCCAGGCAGGAGGATTCCTGATCGAAAAACATTTTTTCGCGTCCACCAGTGTTTGCGTGAAAATGGAAAGTGTCCCACCAACGGCCGCTTAGTTGGAAACTTCATCATCATCATCCTTTTTATTGATTTCCCTCAAGGGGTACATCAAAAAAATACATTTACAAAATACAATTACATGCAAAATAACCAAGGTTGGTAAAAAAGTTTTACTAATAACTAGGCAAAAAAAAATCATATAAATATTAACATGCAATAAATAATTCAATAAATAACCAATAAATATCTCATAAATAAATACTGTATAGACATAGAATACCAGTAGAAGAACAATAAATATTTACACTGATAGCTGAGCCAACATACAAAATTAATTGAATTAATTAAATGTTTTGAAATAGTTGGAAACTTTATACAAGATGTCGGATTGGAAGAGGCTATTTTGGAACGGGTAAATGAAGATCCAAGGATAAGTACGAGGACATTAGCCCGTGAGTTTGGGATATCTCAAACATTTGTGTTAAAACTATTACGAAAAGAGGGGTTGCACCCATTTCATTTCACGCGCGTCCAGAAACTCGAGCCGAGAGATCCACCCATGGATTTCCTGAAAACAATTTTATGGACTGATGAATGTTCGTTTACGAGAGATGGAGTCTTTAATTTCCACAATGAGCATCACTATGCTGACGATAATCCGTTCCTCGTCGTGAATCTAGGAGTCAGTCACGATTCAAGGTAAATGTGTGGGCTGGACTGATAGGAAATCGAGTGATTGGACCATATCTTGACCTTCCTCCAACACTGAATGGAGATGACTAGTTACAGTTCCTAACTGAAATCCTACCATAACTCCTGGAGGACATTCCATTGAATTTGCGTGATCGCATCGTGTACCAAACTGATGGCGCACCCCCGCACTTCAACTCAATGTACGTGACTATTTAAGCAACAACTTCCGCTTGTGGATAGGAAGAGGTGGAACCGTTGCCTGGCCTCCTCGGTCACCATACCTCAATCCATTGGATTATTACTTTTGGGGGTATCTTAAACAAGAAGTTTATAGGACGCCAGTGGAATCAGCTGTAGAAGTGAGAAACCGAATTGTCACAGCTACTGCACGACTACGCAATACGGTAAACTTGAATGCTACTGTTAGAGAGTTGAGAAAACGTGTCCGCATCTGCATCAGACAAAATGGTGGTCATTACGAAAACTTGCTTAGGTAGCAATAAACATTGTCTATTCTGAATACTTGTAATTAATTTGTTAATGAAAAGTAACCATTACAACCACCATACTGTACCAAACAAGTACAAGTACAAGTCCCATACAAGTCTGTACAAGCACCATACTGTATGGAAATGTTGTGTTCATGTGCCTCGCATTATTAAAATAAGAATACCCTTACTCGTAAACCTGGTTTTTATTTAGTTTCATAGTAGTTTTTTTTTGTAATTTCTACCAACAACAATTTAAAACTGCATATCAATTTAAAGCTTATTAAATGAGGAAGTTTTCAATCTAGTTGGACATTGCAAACAAAATAACTATTATACGATAATTTTAACTTTAATTCGGCTAGGAACCGATGTATGTAATGAAATATTTTTTCATGTAACCTTGGTTTTGTAGCAAATTTAATGCTCTTTCGAATTATTTTTAATATAAATCGCTAGAGTAATTGGTTTCATTTTTATAAAGTAAATAGTGACAGAAAGTCCAATATTTTTAGAAAACACAAAATTCTCAATTACGACCAAACGGTTCGGAATCGGACTAGGGTTTATATCAACTTTTTTGTTCATTTTGATCAGTAGAATCCACGACGAAGTTATGGGCGTAAGTAGAAACTCACCCTGTATATATATCAAATCCAATGTATGTTTGTTTGTTTGTTTGTCCTTTATTGACTCCAAAACCGATCGACAGATTGTAATGAAACTTTAAGGAATTATTAAGCATTATTCAAGGATGGGTTGTGTTAAGTTTGGTGCAGATCCGTCAAAAGGGCTACGCCCCAGTGGCTCTTAAGATTCCCATGTTAACCTTATGAGTATTCACATTTAAATGGAATTATATTAAAGAATCTTAACAGCTGGTTCAACTAAAGAATTTGATTCTGTGATGTTCAATAGCATTACAAATTTTATAGGTTTACCAACAGGGTGCAGCAACCAGGACGTGATTGAGCCATGCGAACGAGCTCATCTTGAAAATGAACGAGCATTTGACATAAAACCACATTAGGACAGGACGACGTCTGTCGGGCCAGTTAGTTGATAATAAAACTAAGAACTTTATTCAATAGAATTTTATGATAACACTCGATGAGTTTATATTAGAAAGTATAGTATTACGTTTCTAATATTAAAAAATGTGGGATAACACAATCATAAGCATTCTTTGACTATGATTACTCAAATATTATTAATATAGAAGTAAAGTTTGATTTCAAATCACTGCTCTTTGAACGCCGAGCACACCTGGCCCTAGGGTAATGTCTAATGCATGAGGAGCATTGCCTTTATACCTGCCAGAGCTGAACAAAGCCTACGTTCTAGCGATTACTTATCTGAGATTTATAAATTTATCATGATTAAATTTTAATTTGTTTAGCTTGTGTTAACTGTAAGTGTCATTCATAAATCGTGAGACGAAATAGCCTACATAAACAAGCCATCACGAATATTTCATCAACATTTTATCACTTTAAAAGAGTCAGGCATATGCCATTGGTTAATGGTCAGATCGTTTGGAGACGGAACAAAATTCACATATATAATCAGGGAATTGAAGAAAGTAAAAGGAAATATTTAAAGGCATTTGGTAACGGCTGTAGTTCTCGCTCCGTTTCACATCCGTAGTTCACATCTCCGATCCGATTTGTTGACTGTGGGGAGTTCCCCACTACTTGAAGAGCTTCGACGTCTTTTGATGTCATGGCTCATGGACTAGTTGGGCCATCTGCCCTGGTAGCTCAGCTACCTGTCAATGGTTGATTTATTTTGGTGTCTCAGTCGATCATCTGGGGGCGAAGTCGAGGGGTGGGCTGCCGGAGGAGATCCCTGATGTGGTCCCATGGCGTCACGTCTGCTGTCTGTTGGAGTCTCGCTGTCTGGGTGTCGACGAACTGCCTGATAGTCGGGATTTGGGCTGAGGTCCGGATGACGATGTTCCGAACGAACCACGGAGAGTTGGTGGCGCGCCGGAGGCTCTTACTTTGGATTGTAAGTAGTTTCCTGCGGGATGTTCTGCAGGTAAGGTGATACCAGGCCGGTGCTGCGTAGGTTATCACCGGTCTGAGTAGGGCAGTGAATAGTCTGATTTTCGTCCGGACGGGGAGTCGCTTGGCGTTGAACAGCGGGCCGAGACTTCCAATGCCTTTGGAGGCGAGGTGGCAGACTCTCTCTACGTGGGGCGTCATCGTCAGTCTCTTGTCCAGTAGAACTCCCAAGTACTTCACTGTATTCTTCCATGGTACTGGTCGGCCGTCGATGGAAAGATGGTGTCCATCTGCCTGCTTTCTGGTCCTTGTGAAGCTGATGGCTTCGCACTTGTCAGCGTTTACCTTGATCCTCCACTTTTCCAGCCAGGGTTGAAGAAGATCCAGCTGTCTTTGAACGTAGACACGCGACATCCTCAGGTTGGCGGAGGTGGCGGTGAACAGCGCGTCGTCTGCGTAGAGTGACAGCTGGACTCTGGGAGCAAGTGGGACGTCGTTAGTGTACCACAGGTACAGAATCGGGCCCAACACTGATCCCTGTGGCACACCGAACGAGATGGGCCTGATGGATGAGGAGGTCTGGTCGACTCGGACGCTGAAGCTGCGTTGGTGGAGGTAGCTTCTCATCAGCTTCCAGGTGCAGCCAGGCAGTGGGGAAGAGGCCAGCTTGTAAAGAAGTCCCTCGTGCCACACTCGGTCGAAGGCCTTACTAACATCAATCAGGACAGACGTGGCGTGGAATTTCTTCTCCAGAGCTCCGGCGATAGTGTTGACTACTCGACGAAGTTGAAGAGTGGTTGAGTGACCTCTTCTGAAGCCGTATTGCTCTGTCCTGATTGAGTTGAAGAATTCCTCTGGAAACCTGGCCAGGATAATTCTCTCGAGCATCTTGGAGAGCACAGGCAGTAGGGAGATGGGCCTGTGATTTTCCGGGAAGAGGGGGTCTTTTCCAGGCTTGGGGATCAGTATCACCGTGGCTTCCTTCCAGGTGGACGGGAAATGCGAGAGGCGCAGGCAGGAGTTCATGACTGCGGTGATGAAGACGATGACCCAAGCTGGCAAGTTCTTCATCGCTGGTGTCCCAAGGGAGTCCGGGCCAGGTGCCTTGCGTGGACGGAGGGCCTTGATAAGACCGTTGACCTCCTGTGTGGTCACGGGGGCGACTTCTTCTTCATCGTCAGGGTCGTACGTGTCAAGGAAGTCTTCAACTGCTTCACAGTGGTCGTCATCGTAGACATCAGCATGGGGAGAGAACTGGTCCTCCATGGTGTCTGCGAAAGCTTCCGCCTTGTCCTGAGGTGAGTATACTAGTCCTCGTTGGCCGTGCAGAGGGCGGATCGACTTCTTCTCTCCACGAAGAGACCTAGCGACTCGCCAGACTCCATCGTTGTCTTCTGCGCAGGCTTCCACGTAGTCCTCCCATGTGGAAGATCGGTGCTCTGCGAGGAGGTGGGAGCAGCGTCTGGCTTGGCGGTTGAAGTCTGCCTTGGCCCTTGGACACCGGGAGCGTTGGTACTCTCTGCGGAGTCTGCGGCGGAGCAGGATCTCTTCCCTCAGTTGGATTGGCAGTGGCTGTAGTCGAAGCGCAGTGGATGGGGGGGACGAGGAAGCCGTTATAGCTTCACGTAGTAGAGAGGTCAGGTCCTGAACTTGGTTGTCCAGCTGTTCTGGAGACTCGGCCGGAGGTGGTGGTGGGTGCGGCCGGTCTGCTAGGTAACTGCCGTACTTGATCCAGTTGACCTTCTGGGTGTTTCTGCGTGGTAGTCTGGGCTCCCCATCATCAGGAAGGTCAAAGACCACTGGGACGTGATCTGACGACAGATCTGGAACTGTGAAGACCTCAATGTGTCTGTCGAAAGTGCAGGACAGTCCAATGTCAAGGATGTCTGGATAGTCTCCACGATGGGGGTAATGAGTTGGTTCTTCTGGAGCTAAGAGCTGGATATGGCGATGAGCTTCTATGTAGGCTTTGAGACGTCGTCCAGGGGTGTTTGTGAGGCGGCATCCCCAGTCCTGGTGCTTCGAGTTCAGGTCTCCAACTAGGAGGGCTGGCGAGTTTGGTCTCAGCAGTGCGTCAAGATGTACTTGTTGGAGGGACCTTCCAGGCTGGTTGTATGCAGAGGAGATGGCAAGTTCTGCTCCATCATACTGGACTGCAATCGTTGTTACCTCCAGTCCAGGAGGAAGGTTCACCGGGATTTCACGATGAGGAAGTCTTCGATGGACAAATATGGCAGTTCCACCACTGGGACGTCCCTGGACCAGCCTGTCTGTGCGGTAGCCCTGGTAGTTGGGAAGATTGAAGGCCATGCCCTGACGGAGGTGGGTTTCCTGGATTAGGGCGATGTCTGCATTTAGCTCCTGTAGAAGTTGTGACAGTTCCAGCTTCTTGTTTGCCACCCCATCGGCGTTCCATGAGACGATTCTGATTCTACCCATGATGTTTGCTGAGCGCCTCCACCAGGCGGGTAACAATGGCCATCATGCTTTGCAGCGCTGTCAGTAGTTCGGTTAGTTCAGTCGCTTGAGGGGCACTGGACTGTTGGGCGGGGACGCTGGCCTGCTGGGCAGGGCCGCTGGTCTGCTGGGCAGGGCCGCTGGGCTGCTGGGCAGGGCCGCTGGGCTGCCGGGCAGGGCTGCTTGTCTGTTGTAGTTGAGGCACGTTGATTCTCGGTCGAGGGGTGCGCCTCACCCTGGGGTTTGCAGTGACAGAGGCAGGAGCCACATCAGAGCTTGACGTTGTTTGGGTTGGTTCAGGCATGGTGTTTTGGGCTGGAGACTCGTTGGAGATTCTGGAGTCCTGGGATGAGTTACGTCTTCCACGGTTCTCATGGTTCCTTGGTCCCCGCCGACGGCGTCGTCTCTGCTGCTGGAAGCCTTCATCATCCACGAGGGGCGGTTGGATGTGTTGCGGCTCCGACTCCGAGTCAGTTTTTCTGGGGGCGGCTACTGCTGCATAGGAGCGGTTTTGCTCCTTGAAGGCGGGGCATCCCCTGTAGTTGGCTGTGTGTTGTCCACCACAGTTGGTGCAAGTTGCAGCTTCCGTGTGCTGTTTGAGGCAGAGAGAGCCGGGATGGGATCCTCCACAGCGAACGCAGCGATGGTCTCTGTAGCAGTGGCTGGATCCATGACCAAAGCCCTGGCAGCGATGGCATTGGATGGGGCCCTTGGGACGGTTGTATTGCCTGACTTCAATTTTGCAACAGAAGGCACTGGAGATGTTGTAGACTTCTGTAGGAGGTCTTGATCCATCTTGTCTGCGCAGAGTTAGCAGCCAGAGGTTGGTACGGCGGCCTCCTCGGGTTTTGAGGGGTCGTGATTCCACAGTGGAGAAGCCCATCTCATGGAACTCTTCCGAGACCTCAGTCCCGCTGAGTGTGGAAGGTAGCCCCTTGACAACTACCTTCAGAAGTCTTTCAGTCTTTAGAGCAAAAGTGTGGAAGGGCATGTTGTTGTCTTGTAGGTACCGTTGAATAGCTCTGAAGTGAGCCTGGGTCGAGGTTTGGAGTCGGAGGTTTCGGGCCGAGCAGTTGGCCCTGAGGTCTCCGCTGACTAGTTGCTGAAGAGCAATCGAGTGTCTTGCCCAGCCTTTGGGTAGGTCAAGGAGAATAGGCGGCATCTTTGGTTCTCTCGGGGGCTGACTGTCTTCATCCACGGTGTCCATTTGAGTGTCTGTGGCGATGCCAGAGGTCTTGCGGGCCTTGCGCTCGGCAGGGGGCGACGGCGGAGCTCTCCTCTTGGCAGCAGTTTGGTGGCCCTTAAAAAGGCCATTTTTCTGGGATGACGGGCAGGGGTTCCCCTGGCAACTGTTCCCCTCGCCGCCAGTGAAAACATACGGGCCTCGACCAGGGCTGGCAGTGGCGCGCCGTACATCGACACCCGCTCGGGTCACCGCAGCAGCGGTCTTCCCCCAGGCCCTGAACTCCTTCCCTCGAGAGGGATGTCCTGGGGGGATGGTGTTGCTGGGCTGGGCTGCTTCAGTGTCCATTGGGCCGGCGTTGAGCTCAGATGCCACAGCAGAAAGAAGGTCAGCTTGAAGCCGCTCTCTGTTGGTTATCGGGCTGAGGATCCCATCTTCCACTTCAGTAGTGTCGAGTGCGGGCGGGGAAATCGTTTGGCCCAAAACTTCGTTGCAGCTGGGCGAAGAAGAATCGGTCCGCTGCGACATTTGGTGGCCTTTACTAAGGCCGTTTTGAGATGCAGTACCAGAACTGCAAGACGACAACATCTCGGCCAGCGGTGATGGTAGCTGCGGCGAGATGTTAAATGGAGGCGACCCACGCGCTGTCCCTCCAGGAAACTGCACCGGCGGTGCTGTCGACGACGAAGGCGGCCCACGCTCAGTCCCTCCGGCGTCGAAAGTTGTTGTTGGTGACGTCATCAAGAGCTCCACGATGTTTACTCGTCGGAGTCTGGCAGTCGAATGGTGGTGGAGTTCACATCTTCAAACTTGTTATACCTTAGTTTAAAACAAGAGGTTCTACACACGAATTCATGGGTAAACAGAAGTCTAAATTAATTTAATCAACTTTGAATTTCCCCATTTCATTTAAAGGGCCCAAGTTCGAGAAATTGTCATCTGAAAGGATGTTAAAGGCAGTGGAACCTTCATACCTTACGTCTAAGGTGGCCGAGGTGGGTACGGTTGTATCTGAGCTCGCCGCTCTCTTTCACGACGTCTTTAATACTTTACTTAAATATTTTTCAATGAATTGGTG